CAAATTTTTTGACATGGATTATAAGAAAATTTTCACCAAAAATACATTTTGTAGAACATCAATATGATAGTTTCGTGTTGTGGTATGGGCAAGACGAAAATTTAACAAAAATAAAAAAAAAATAAAAGGAAAACTAATGAAAATGGCTTGAAAACTTTGAGTTTTAATGATAAAGACAAAATAAAGGGTAAAGTGAATAGTGCCATGATTGATTTTTTAGTGTAAAAATGTGGTTTTTAGTTAAAGTGAACGGTACCGCGGACTTTTCGTTCAAACTCCCAAAAATAAAACTTTAAATAAATAAAATTAAAAGTTTAGACGTAGTCCAAACGTATGCCCACTAGAAAGTTCAAGCCACATTAGAAGCAGTGAAGGCCCATGAGGTTTAGTGTTTAGGGGCACATGAATAGTAACACCCTGAGTTCAAGTGTTTAGGGGCGTGTTAATTTTATAGATGTTTTAATCTAAAAATATTTAGATTCCGATAAATATTGAAAAATCACTAAACCTGACACTTATTAACTACATAAAATTAATTAGTAAATTATTAAACCATAACCTTTAGCTCTAGCAAATATTTTACGCGGGAATTAACGAAAATGTTCACTTGATGTGATTTTATCCTTTATTAAGCCCAGAAACTATTTCTCATTAATTTTTTGAAGTTGAAAAATAGAAAGGAAAAAAAAAAACTAACAGTGGGGTCTCCCAAAGAGATTTGTAAGTGTCCAAAATCTTGGGAATGTGCTAAATTAATTTTAGGAAACATGTGGTGCGAGTAAAATAACTATAACTTTGGCTTATAAGTTTATAACGGATATTGTAAAAGTTCTCAACATCGATTAGAGAACTATGGGTTGTAAATCACAGTTTTTGTGAAAATTTGAAATTTTTAGCTTTATGAAATATTTGCGTCGGAGTTAAAGAAAATATTGGAAGACCTTTGGACGTGATAACGTTTATTAGGTCCCGAAACTATTTTTTTTATTGATTTTTTCAAGTTGAAAATATGAGAGTATCTTTAAATTTAGGTTTTAAATCATTAATTTCAAGTGTTTAAATATTAATTATAATAGATTTAGCATGGGATAATATATTTTGAATAACATGAATATGATAATTTCTAGTTATGGTAAGATAAATAAAATGAAATAAAATAAATAAAAAGAAAAAAATTGAAAATAGGGGGATCGGTATGAAGATAGCGACTTTATTTGATTAAAATTGCTAGAATGGTAGCGATTGTAAGCCAATGCAATCGCTAGAACTATAGCAACTCCCTTCATGGAGGATCGGGAACAAAGTATCGATCGTAACATTTTTCCCCCCACCTTTTTCTTTTTCTTTTTCCATTGAATTTCTTTTTCTTTTCCCATTGAATTTATTTTTCTTAGTGCGTTACTTTATTTAGATTCAAATACCTTTTATATTTGTATCCTTATTTTCAAATTTTTTTTGACATGGATTAGAAGAAAATTTTCACCAAAAATACATTTTGTAGAACATCAAGATGATAGTTTTGTGTTGTGGTATGGGCAAGACGAAAATTTAACAAAAAAAAAAAAAAAAAAAAAAAAGAGAAAAACTAATGAAAATGGCTTAAAAACTTTGAGTTTTAATGATAAAGACAAAATAAAGGGTAAAGTGAATAGTACCATGCTTGATTTTTTAGTGTAAAAATGTGATTTTTTGTTAAAGTGAACAGTACCGCGAACTTTTCGTTAAAACTCCCAAAAAATAAAATTTTAAATAAATAAAATTAATGGTTTAGACGTAGTCCAAACTCACGCCTAAGTCCAAACACATGCCCACTAAAAAGTTCAAGCTGCAGTAGAAGCAATCAAGGCCTATGAGGTTTAGTGTTTAGGGGCATGTGAATAATAATATCCTAAGTTCAAGTGTTTAGGGGCGTGTTAATTTTATAGATGTTTTAATCTAAAAATATTTATATTCCGATAAATATTGAAAAATCAATAAACCTAACACTTATTAACTACATAAAATTAATTAGTAAATCATAATTACTAATTATTAAACCATAACCTTTAGCTCTAGCAAATATTTTATGTGGGAATTAACGAAAATGTTCACTTGATGTGATTTTATCCTTTAGTAAGCCCCGAAACTATTTCTCGTTAATTTTTTGAAGTTGAAAAATAGAAAGGAAAAAAAAAAACTAATAGTGGGGTCTCCCAAAGAGATTTGTAGGTGTCCAAAATCTTGGGAATGTGCTAAATTAATTTTAGGAAACATGTGGTGCGAGTAAAATGACTATAACTTTGGCTTATAAGTTTATAACGAATATTGTAAAAGTTCTCAACATCGATTAGAGAACTATGGGTTGTAAATCACAGTTTTTGTGAAATTTTGAAATTTTTAGCTTTAGAAAATATTTGCGTCGGAGTTAAAGAAAATATTGGAAGACCTTTGGATGTGATACTGTTTATTAGGTCCTGAAACTATTTTTTTATTGATTTTTTCAAGTTGAAAATATGAGAGTATCTTTAAATTTAGGTTTTAAATCATTAATTTCAAGTGTTTAAATATTAATTATAATAGATTTAGCATGGGATAATATATTTTGAAGAACATGAATATGATAATTTGTAGTTATGGTAAGATAAATAAAATAAAATAAAATAAATAAAAAGAAAAAAATTGAAAAGAGGGGGATCGGTACGAAGCTAGCGACTTTAATTGAGTACAATTGCTAGTGTTATAGCGATTGTAATTCGGTACAATCGCTAGTACTATAGCAACTCTCTTCAGGAAGGATCGGGATCAAAGTATCGATCATAACATTTTTCCCCCCGCCTTTTTCTTTTTCTTTTTCTTTTTCCATTGAATTTCTTTTTCTTAGTGCGTTACTTTATTTAGATTCAAATACCTTTTATATTTGTATCCTTATTTTCAAATTTTTTTTGACATGGATTAGAAGAAAATTTTCACCAAAAATACATTTTTTAGAACATCAAGATGATAGTTTTGTGTTGTGGTATGGGCAAGACGAAAATTTAATAAAAATTAAAAAAAAAATAAGAGGAAAACTAATGAAAATGAATTAGAAACTTTGAGTTTTAAAACTTAGCACCAAAACTCCTTTGCTTGCCACGGTTGTCGGTGTAGCTTGCGGAACACTTGGACTCTCTGTCCTTGGGTTCTTGGTTTTTAGGCGGCGGCGGAAAGTCAAGGGCACTGCCTCAGATGGGTCATCATCTTTACCAACACATTTGTGTCGTTACTTTTCACTGGCGGAGATCAAAGCCGCCACCCAAAACTTCAGCCAGAGTTTCATTGTTGGTGTTGGCGGCTTCGGTCACGTGTACAAATGGCATATCGACGGCGGGGCCACTCCTGTTGCGATCAAACGGTTGAAACCCGAGTCATCGCAAGGAGCCCACGAGTTCAAGACGGAAATCGAGCTGCTCTCACAACTCAGACAGCCATTTGGTGTCTCTCATTAGGTATTGTACTGATAAAAATGGGATGATTTTGGTGTACGATTACATGGCACGTGGGACACTTGCTGACCATCTTTACCACACCGACAACCCACCTCTCTCCTGGGGACAAGGGCTCCAAATTTGCATTGGTGCCGCGCGAGGGTTGCGCTACCTTCACAGTGATGCCCAGGGCACTATCATCCACCGTGATGTGAAGAGCACAAACATTTTATTGGATGAGAAATGGGTGGCTAAGGTTTCGGATTTCGGATTGTCGAAAATGGGCACGACCACCATGTCCAAGACCCACATCAGTACGGCTGTGAAAGGCAGTTTCGGGTATCTAGACCCAGAATACTACCGACGTCAACAACTAACGGTGAAGTCCGATGTGTACTCATTCGGTGTAGTGTTGTGTGAAGTACTGTGCGCAAGACCAGCTGTGGTGCATGCAGTGGAGACGAGGCAAATGAACTTGGCTGAGTGGACCAAGAGTTGCCATCGCGACGGGGAACTTGATCAAATCATTGATCCGAACATGAAGGGTAAGATTGAAACCGAGTGTCTGAACAAGTATGTGGAAATTGCTATGAGTTGCATCGATGATAGTGGGATGGAAAGGCCGTCAATGAACGACGTTGTGAGGGGGCTTGAGTTTGCATTGCAACAACATCAGAACTGCGGTGAAAGGAACAACGAGGATGCCTTTGCTACCGTGCCAGGTTGCGCTACGAATGAATCCGTTCAGTGCATATTTGAGACGATCTTCTCAGAGATCAACGATCCGAATGGGAGATGATGAGCAACATTAGAGTAATCTGGCTAGACTTAAAGGCTATGGGTAAGCCTGACCATGATATGAGTATGTTTTTTCTTATATACTGTGTTTGAACCCAATTGAATGCTGAATCACTTGCAGTGCCTGCAATTGCGTTATATTGCAGAACTATTTCTACAAACTGACTGCATTGATTTTAGTGAAACCTCGTGTATTTTTAATAAAAGCACTTGTCAACAAAAGTGCTTACAAAAACAGTTTCATACGATCCCCAATTTGGCTGGAATATGCTCCATTACAACTTCCGGACAAAAGAATTTTCCTGTTAAACGCAACAAAAGTTACCACTGATATAAGCAGTAGATCATCATTTCATCATTTCGCAAGAGTACAATGATATACCATTTGTAACCAACACGAGACTATTTTCTTGTCAAAATTTTCAAAACATTTGATCCAATTCCAAAATAGCGGGGAATCAATAACACTCGTTCGTTCAAACTCTCGTAAGTCAATCAAGCACCTACATTAAGATCCGTAAGTTTCTAACGAATAACTAAGCCTTGCACTGCCTGTGATCCCTCGTCAGCTATCCTGTTAGCTCGAATGGTGCTGATAACGTTTGCAATATTACCCTATCAATGAGAAACTCTGTCAAGATACGATTATATAATGAAGATTTATGGACAATGCAATACAAAGGGTGGTTTGTTATACCGTAGCAATGAATCGGTTCTTACTGGTCAGTTAAAAATGAAAAAGCAGTTGAAGTTACTTACCCTCCAAGTTGCTAACTTTGTTCTTAGTGTAAGCCATTGTTCTTCCCCAAATACTCTCTCAGTACAGCGGCTGTAGATGAAAGGCCAATTCAGTTCAAGAACAAAGAAGCCTAAAAGAATGAATAAACAACTATATGCATCTTTGTGTGTACGCAGAAGGTACGAAACACAAACTAACCTCACAATCACCACTTGATTCATCTGGTCCATTTTACAGTCCATCAACTTAGCAGTTATTGCCTTTACCACCCAAAGTTCAACTTCGTCATCATTAATCTGCCAAAAATAATTGCATAAGCATAATTAACCATGATGTCAGTTTTAAACTTCTAGAACCAGAAAGGTAAGCCAACCTAACCTGAAGAGTATCCCTGATAGCACCGTAAGGAATCTGTCCAGATTCATCAGAACCAAGATCCATCAAGGAAATCAACCTCATCTTAGTTATGCAGTCTTCATGGACAAGACCTATAACATTTCAGAAAGCATAATTTAGACGAACAGAAAAATGAATATAATCCGAAGAAAGCCCAGTCAGATGAAACTAAACTTTACCGTAGCTTTTCAGTAAATCAGAATTTGCAGCCTGAAACTCCAAGTAAGCATCCAGCCTCTGAGTCAGAAAGATCTTCAAAAGCTGATATGCCAATGCATGCTTAGCATCCTTCTCCAGTTGCTCTACAGCTGGCAAATTTAGCAAATCACACTGCAGCATAACAAACCAACACATCAGTTATCTAAATGCCTGATGGAAGGGGGGAATATGATCATCAGAGCCAACTGCCAAAAACCAGTTTTTTTGAAGTGATGAAATTAAGGGCTGGTTTGGTATTGCTGTGCTTTGAAAAAAAACTGCTTCTGCTGTGTTGTGAGAATAAGCAGCTGTGAAATAAAGCAACAGAGTGTTTGGTAAACTTTTTTGTAAAAGTGCTTTTAAAAAAAAAAAAAAAAGTAGTATTATAGTGTTTGGTAAACTTTTATGTAAAACAGATGTGAAAAAAAACCAGTTTTTCAAAGCTGGGTTTTGCAGCTTCTTGTTTTTGGCTTTTTTCATCCAAAACTGTAGAAAAAAGCTGAAGCTGAATGTTTACCAAATACAAAAACATCTCCCAGCTTTTTTTTATACCAGCTTTTTTCAGAATCACCTCAGTATCAAACTAGGCCTAAGTCAGCACTCCGTCATGTTTATACAGATATTATATGTAACTGCAGAGGAAGCATAGTAGCTTCTTCAAAATGCCAGAAAAACAATAAAATTTATAAATTACTTTATAAGAGTTGATTCTAAACTACTACACAATGAACCGGGTCCACCACACAATATAACTTTTTAAACCAAAAAAAATATATATATTTTGTAAATAAGGATGAACAGTCACCAAAGAGAAACATGGACTAAAGAATTAGTTCCAAAAAATTTTGAAATTCCACAAGATCCTACAAATATACCTGAAACATGTCTGGGGCCTTCACAAATTCCACAATTGTACGTATAGCTTCCTCTTTGGCTTCACTCAACGTATGCACATCTTCACCAGAAAATGTCGCCAAGTACTTGGTCAGGAATTTGAAAGACTCCTTTGCCAAGCTGAAAATACAACAGAAAATATAATTAACTGTTCTTAAAACAAATAGAGGAAAGACATGTACATATAGAAAAAAGATTACAAAGCATACTTTTTGTGTTCTTTCAGAACATTAGCGATTGTCAGAAATAACTGTCTCTGATCAGAGATCTCAATATTCCACTCTTTCAAAAAACTTTCCACATTTTTGAATGAAGGGATGACATGTTCAGTGACCTTCCCATGGATAGCCAAATTAAGAGCACTCAAGTAGACTAAGAACCGGCTATATGGGTTCTCCAGTAGGTTGTACAGATTGAACAAACTGTAAACAAAACAAAAACAGTCAGAAGTACATTCAAAATAATAAAAAGCTAAAGTCATGATCACAATGGTATCATACATCTTTAAGCGCAATGCAGGCTTGTCAGTTGGTTTTTGAGTAATCTTTGAGGATATAAGTTTTGCCATCTCCAGTGCTTCATCTGGACTTTCAGACTTTGTAACAACATTGCAGATAACAGTGAATATGCACTCAAGATCTAGAAGGAAAAAAAAATTCATGAATTTGTTATGATGAACATTGACAAAACCATTAAGATGGCATTTAATTGTCGTTACTAATTGAATGAGTTGATACTAAGTCCATATCATCCAAAATTGTTAATAAGAACATTTTAAAGAATATTATGAATTTCAATTTCTACAATGGTAGAATCTACATAACTGACCAAAAACACATGCAGAATTTTGAAGTAATTAGACTAAGGAACTTCAAGCAAACATTGATACAATAGTGGATGAACGAGAATTGGAAGAAAAACCTCTGCACCGTTGTGCAATGCAATAATAAGCCTCTTTATCCATTTAAAGAGTACATAAACATCTAACAATACAGATTGTACCTTTTTCCGAGACCTTTGACAATATGACCTCAGCCGAAGTAAGCATAAGGGACACCAATTCGAACCACCTGTCCATTACCACGCATTCTTGGGCTTCAGCACGTAGTCTAGTAACTTGCGGCTCAGCAACCTGGCAGATAATCATGACAAAGATAAATCTCTTCCTTTATATGGAAATCAAAGAACAAGGGTCATTCCTTGACTCTTACTGATGAAAATTTTACTCCATGAGAGATTGAGAAAGAAGTTGCCGAATTGGCCCACAAGAAATTCACCAACTTCCGTAGTGATATGCACAGTATCTATATACATAATACAGAAAGGCGTATCTCGGATTTCTTTCGTTGGGTAAAAATGGTGGTGAAATATCAATTCTTACTTCACAATTACCAAATGCAGAATGCGGAAATACATTTGCCCAATGTTTTTGTCACCGCAAACCCAAGTTTCGGATTCGTAAGCATTACAATTAAAACTGAGTTTCGAGATTAAGCACGTAGTACGCAATAAAGTGGCTAGAGAAGTCACTCCCCCATTAAATTTTGAGAACTTTAACGAAAAGTTCTCGATATTATTTACTTTAACGAAAAATCACATTTTTACACTAAAAAGTCAATCTTGATACTATTTACTGTACCTTTTATTTTATTTTTATTGTTAAAATTTAAAGTTTTCAAACCTTTTTGAGTGGTTTTCCTTAAATTTTCTCTCATGCCCCACTACTTTTGTTTTGCCCTAGATTTTCAATAATTGTGCATTCAAACAATAATATAACGACTCCGACTCAGAGTAGAGGACAAGACAAGCTGCTTCAATATTCATCAGAAATTTGGTGAAAAAAAAAAAACCTCTGAATTTTCAGACACCCAGTTTTCCAATTACAACGAAACACTTCACCATTAAAGTATTCAAAATCCAGTTAGAAGTTCAATTATAAATGGAATTTTGTTAAGCTTACGATAATAAGCAGCAACAGATTCCCCCGTTTCCAAATTGCAGCAAACACCTTACCATGAAACCCAATCTTTCTCATCTGTTCCTTACCCTGTTTCTGCAAATCATAACCCTACACGTGGCCGGAGACTCACCCTCTGTCTACAAACCGGTCGATGACATCACCCTACAGTGCGGCTTTTCCGGCGACGAGGTCAACCAACGGGACGGACGAACTTGGAGTGGCGATATCAACTCAAAATTCTCCCCCTCCCAAGCAGCTGGCAGCTCATCCGTACTCAAAGCAGCAACCCCGATCTCCTCCTCCAGCCAAGTGCCTTACACCACAGCTCGGCTCTCTCGCTCCGAATTTACGTACACGTTTCCACTCACCAGCGGCCAAAAGTTCATCCGCTTGTACTTCTACCCCACCTTCTACGCCGCCGAGTTCGACCGATCTAAATCCCTCTTCTCAGTCGAAGCCGGCGGCTTTACCCTTCTCCGCGACTTCAACGCCTCCGTCACCGCCGACGCTTCCTGGTCGGAGACAGTATCCAGGGAGTTCTGTCTCAACATTGCATCCGAACAGAGCTTGAACATCACGTTCACTCCGAGTAGAGCAAGTCCAGATGCCTATGCCTTCATCAATGGAATCGAAATCGTGTCCATGCCCGACAATCTTTATTACACTCCGCCGCAAAGCGCAGATGGGGCTGTTCTCGTAGGCAGCATAAACCCGTATCCGATCGAAAATAACACCGCCATGGAGATGGTCTACCGGATCAACGTCGGCGGATCTCAGCTCTCGTTCAATCAGGACACTGGAATGTACAGAAACTGGGATGGTTTTCAAGCGGAGGACAACTATTTGGACGCTTTGAGTAAAAATTTTAGTGTTCTGCCGCAAAACAGTAGTATTGAGCTCGACTTTTCGGAAATTCCGAAGTACTCTGCTCCGGAAGAAGTTTACCGAAGCGGTCGGTCGATGGGGAGGAACAAAACCATAAACAAGAGCTATAATCTCACCTGGGAGTTTCCGGTAGATTCTACGTTTTATTACTTTATTCGGCTTCATTTTTGTGAGTTCGAAGGTGATGTTACATTGCTCAGGGACCGGCTGTTTCAAATCTTCATCGCCAATCAGACGGCGGAGCCGATGGCGGATGTAATCGCGTGGAGCGGCGGTAATGGGAAGCCGGTATACAAAGACTACGTCGTTTTCGTGCCTGCAGGCGCCGGAAGTAAAAAGAAAGTTCATCTCTTTCTTGCACTGCAAACCACCCCAAAAGATCTGTTGACGAATTACAACGATGCAATCTTGAACGGACTCGAGATCTTCAAGCTCAGTGATTCAAAGAGGAATCTCGCCGGACCAAACCCCGACCCGCCTCTCAAAATAGCTCCGGCGGAGAGCCCGAAAGTTTCAGACAAGAAATCGATTCCTCTGCTTGCCGTCATCGCCGGTGTAGTTTCAGGTGTGTTTGTTTTAGCCTCTCTGGTCGGATTTTTGGTTTTCCGGAGAGGAAGAAAAGTCAAGGACTCAAGCTCCAGGCAAGGAACAAAGTGGGGTCCATTTTCTTTTTCGACGACCAAGTCAACCAAGACTCGCGGCTCTTCTTTACCGTCCGATTTGTGTCGCTACTTTTCACTGGCGGAGATCAAAATCGCCACCCAAAACTTCAACCAGAGTTTCATTGTTGGTGTTGGCGGCTTTGGTCACGTGTACAAAGGGCATATCGACGACGGGGCTACTCATGTTGCGATCAAACGGCTGAAAACCGAGTCATCGCAAGGAGCCCGCGAGTTCAAGACAGAAATCGAGCTGCTTTCACAACTCAGACACCGTAATTTGGTGTCTCTCATTGGCTGTTGTACTGATAAAAATGAGATGATTTTGGTGTACGATTATATGTCACGTGGGACACTTGCCGACCATCTCTACCACACCAATAACCCACCTCTCTCCTGGGGACAACGGCTCCAAATTTGCATTGGCGCCGCGCGAGGGTTGTGCTACCTACACAGCGAAGCCCAGCGCACTATCATCCACCGTGATGTGAAGAGCACAAACATTTTATTGGATGAGAAATGGGTGGCCAAGGTTTCGGATTTCGGATTGTCGAAAATGGGCACGACCACCATGTCCAAGGCCCACATCAGCACAGTCGTGAAAGGTAGTTTTGGGTATCTAGACCCAGAATACTACCGACGTCAACAACTGACTGTGAAGTCCGATGTGTACTCTTTCGGTGTAGTGTTGTGTGAAGTACTGTGCGCAAGACCAGCTGTGGTGCATGCAGCGGAGACAAGGCAAATGAACTTGGCTAAGTGGACCAAGAGCTGTCATCACGACGGGGAACTTGATCAAATCATTGATCCGAACATGAAGGGTAAGATTGAAACCGAGTGTTTGAACAAGTATGTGGAAATTGCTATGAGTTGCATCAATGATAGTGGGATGGAAAGGCCGTCAATGAACGACGTTGTGAAGGGGCTTGAGTTTGCATTGCAACAACATCAGAACTGCGGTGAAAAGAACAACAAGGATGCCTTTGTTAGCGTGCCAGGTTACGCTACGAATGAATCCGTTCAGTGCATATCTGAGACGATCTTCTCAGAGATCAACGATCCGAATGGGAGATGATGAGCAACATTAGAGTAATCTGGCTAGACTTAAAGGCTATGGGTAAGCCTGACCATGATATGAGTATGTTTTTTCTTATATACTATGTTTGAACCCAATTGAATGCTGAATCACTTGCAGTGTCTGCCATTGCGTTATATTGCAGAACTATTTCTACAAACTGACTGCACTTATGACCACACAATAGCGGGAGAAACTTAAAAGTGCTTCTAGATAGAAGCATTTTCTAAACAAGCACATGCCAAATGCTTCTCTAAAAAGCACTCCCAAGTATTTTTCCAAGAAACACACTGATTTTAGTAAAACCTTGTGTATTTTTAATAAAAGCACTTGTCAACAAAAGTGCTTACAAAAACAGTTTCATACGATCCCCAATTTGGCTGGAATGTGCTCCATTACAACTTCCGGACAAGTTTATGGTTTATGATTGTGAATTAATGGTTATGTGAGATGCATAGAGAGCTCATAACCTGCACCCCGATGTTAGTGCTCCCACCAAGAGTAGGGCACAGTCCTTCACGTGATGTTGACCTCCTTCACCACACACTCATCTTGGATCCAAGTTAGGTGCACAGTTTTGTCGTACAGACCACTATAGGTGGTTCCGACTCGTAGGTGACCCACAATTATTCGCCTAGTCTTCACGTGATCGTAGCATTTGAGCGTATTTATTTACATCCAGTCCTGTCGTATAGACCACTTTAGGTGGTTCCGACTCGTGTGCAGGTATAGTTAGTGAGTTGGGGATTTGAGCTCTAGATTCAGCCGTACAAGTCACGTTAGGTGACTCCGGTTAACATGTTACTTGCATTGATTGACATTACCTGGGTTACTTACATTTTATGCGGAGGCATTCGACATGGCATATTTTTTAACATGTTCTCGATATATGTGTATATTCTATTTTCTGGGAAACTATACAAGTTTTACGGTGAGGGGTTAGAGCTTTTGATAATGAAATGCTTTTGAAAAGCTTTGTTTTTGCCCACTCACACTTTCTGTTTTGCGCCCCTCCAGGTTCTAGTTAGAAGTAGTTTTGGTGGTTCACAAGGACTTGACCGTAGTTCTGACAGAACATCACAAATGTAGGATCACCTTTGGGTATTTTGTAATTAGTATTCTTCTTCTGGACTGCACTTAGGTTTTATGTGCTTTGATCATGTTTATCATACTTATTCTTACATTAGTGTGTTACCTTAACTAGTTTATTTAGTAGTTTGGTTTTTATTTATTCGTACTTTTATTATTATCTTTTGCTTCCGCACTGTGCACATGACTACATCACTCTCACGTGACGGCCAGCACGCCTTGATTTCGGTCGGGTTGTGTCAACCTAGGCGGACTAGGCAGATTTAAGTAAATCCATTATATTTCGTATAAATAAATGTCTGTTTATACTTAAAATATATATAATTTCTTCATAAACTACAAAATAGAATAACATATGTATTAAAACATAATAAAAACATGGAGAACACTTATTTAGTGTGTGCTCATTTAAGTATTCAACAAGTCTCTTACAATTTATTAAAAAGAATTCAATGCAAATTGAA